ATTTTCCACTCCAAGCAGTGAGACTGCACTTGAATCTTCAGATTCCTTCACATTTTCAGTTTGATGTTGGGATTGACTTTGCGAAACAGACAACGGAGGAGAAGGGTTTGCAACACCCAATCCTTTAGAAAGACAAACATAATTGAAGACGAGATGTTTGTAATTATTCAGAAGTTGTTCTACATCATTGACTGTAAGATCACCGGCCTGAGAAAACAAATACGGGAAATCCCGAAAGATTCGACTTGCTTGATCCTCCTTCAAAGCTTGGTTATGGTTAATCTCCTGTCCCTGTTGTTGCTGTTATGTTTTTGAAATGCTATGTGTAATCTTGACTCCTTCATGATACAAATTAAGCAGTGTTGTAATAATAGGCAAAATTTTGTTGAGAAGTTCAGATTTTATTCCAAGGGATCAATCAAACAATCATCTCTTAGCCAAATATCTCGTAAAGGAATCATAATTTTATTTCAAGATGGAAGACTCAATCACCACTTCCTTGTTTAACATTTTTCCAATACAATTGAGATTCCTCCAAAGTCAGCGGCCCAAAGATTTCCATTCAATTAAAACGCTTTCCACATTTTCCACACTCTAAGCAAAATTTTGTTTCAAAATTTTCCAAGGAACTTCGAATTTTATTCCAAGAAATTAATCATGCAATTATCTTCTAGTCAAATACCTTCTAAGGAAATTCAAAATTTTATTCAAAGTGAAAAACTTAGTCATCACTTCCTTATCTAACATTTTTCTGTAAAATCAAAATTCCCTTCAAAGTCAATAACTCAAAGATTTTCGTCCAATCATAAACTTTTCATAATTTCCAAAATTATACTTGGGTTTTTTTTTTTAAAAAAAAAATATCTCCCCAAGGAGTCTTGGATTTTATTCCAAATATGTAATCCAATAAATATCTTCTAGTCAAATACCTTTTAGGGAAATTGAAATTTTATTCAAAATGGAAGGCTTGGTCATCACTTCCTTATTTACCATTTTTTTTCCATAAAATCGAAATTCTCCCAAAGTCAATAACTTAAAAATTTCATTCAATTAAAAGCTTTCCATAATTTCCAAGACACTACTTAAGATGGGGATTTTTTTTTTAAAAATTATTCTTTGATCATATATGTTCTTGAGGATTCTTACTTAAATTTTAGAAAGGCAATCATTTTTTAATTAATCACTAAGGTAGGAATTCAAATTCAAAACTCAAACCCTTTAAATTGGGAAACATCCCCTTAATTCACCGCTTATTATCATAATCATAATTAGGATCGAATTGCTGCCTAAATTGAACCCCCAGATTTTGGAACCAAATCATTGTCCAGAATAATCTCAGATTTTCCAGAATCAAATCACTGCCTAATCAGACCCCTTGAATTGATTTTCTGATAGTTGATCTCCGGAATCAAATAAAATCATTTTCATTCAAGACAAGATACCACATAAGCACAGAATTTACATTTATGCCTATTTACGAGTTGGGTTTCCCTATTCTAATTTAGACATAGGATCTAAGATTCACTAAATCACACAAAAAGACAATCATACAATCCTAGAAGAGAAGTATCATGTCCTAGTTTGGAAGGTGCTACAGCTTTCCCTATGCAGAGGTAGGTTTAGTCAAGAAGGGTACATCAGCTGACTATTATTAATATACCTCTCATGCCACCTTAGAGTGCAAGGGATGATCAAATGGTACTAATAACAAATTCTGACGCTTGCTTGTTGACATTAACATATCCCGCGAATAATGTCCGGGATATTAAGCAACGAAGTTGGGTTTTCTGAGCCCACAATGATGCAATGCAATTTAATAATTTACCATTAAGAGTCTATGAGTTAAGGCAATGTGGGGGAAGAGGATGGTTGTCTTTACTCTCAAACTCACAAAAGGCTCTCAAGAGTCTAACCCTTTGAAAATGAGGAGGGGGTGAGGGTGGGGGCTTCTTTTACAGGAAGAGGGGAAGCTTTTGGAAGTCCCCTAGGGTTTCCATCATTTCTTCTTGATGTCTCCCTCCAATATTGCACCAAGATTGTGTTACCAAAATTGACTATGCCACGCATGGAAGTGAGCGCGGACAATCTACGTGCGTACGCACAACCTGCCTTGGTACATATGCCTCCCATACATGCACAAGTGAGGGGTTCCATACCCTTTGCTTGTTTTTGGTCCAAGTAATCCCAAATTGCTTTCTAATAAATGTTTTTGATAAAATTGGCCACTAATTTTAGAAATTTCTTTCATCAAAGCATAACTGGGCATTCCTCTCTTTCTTAGGGTTAAAAAGTTAATTTTTTTGGCTAAAAATAGATCTAGGGATAAAATATTCATTTTCATAAAAATTTAATTTTTGGCTAAAACAAGTTTATACAGCAACTCCAAACAACCTTTAAACATTCCAAACATGAAGTAGTTAATGTTTCATCATCGGGAGGTCTACAAGCGCCCGCAGTCTTAGTGTCAGTCAAAATGAGGTGTCTACACTAGACTTTGGAAAAGTTTGTAGCACATGATCTCAATTGCACTTCCTTCATTTACTAGAATTCTTCGCACCCCAAAGCCATCCAAGTCTGGCTTAATTGTCACGACCCCAACCGGCCTCTAGAGGTTAGAGTGGTGACCGGCCAGTAATCATAGATTACCTACGGCCTCAAACACAAAATTTCTAAATATTTAAATAATATCGGGGTTTGAAGCGAAAGCAAAACAAAAATAACATTAACCATTGAGCTGTGCATACATGATAAACTGAAATACTTAAAATATTTCAAGACACACTTTAATATATATATATATATATACACACAAATGCATATCTTATACATTCCAAATCATACATATAGGACTTTGACTAAGTAAAGCTTAACAAACTTGTCAAAAACAACAGCTAAAGCCTCAACACGGAGGCACATCTTCGTATGGCTTGATAAAATGGGTGAACTCCGAAGCAAACTCTAATATTGAGCTTTCTGATGCTCACCTACATATATATATAAGGGAGATGGGTAAGTTAGAGCCCAATGAGTAATACTAAAATAAAGCGGTTAATGAATGAAATCCATCACAATATAAAACGTGTCTTACATTTCCAAATGAATCATATATCAAATTCAAACAAAACATTTTCTATATCAAAATCCATTTTCAAAACATCATACATGGTACATCCAATAGAGTAACGAATGGGCCAGAAGGCCTAAGTCAAAGGGACAATCAAGGTCTAGCAAGGGGACCATCAAGGTCTATTGAAGAGACCAAAAAGGTCTAACAAAAGAACCGCTCGGGTCTAACATCAGAGATCTCTGTAAATCCAATAATCGAAGGGCCATGGTATTATATCCCCTCGGTAAGGCCTCACTAAATGATGCCACAAATACATTTAACAAAAAAGATCTGCATTCATTCATCTAAAATAACATTTCATAATACCATTCATGTAACAATTTTCATAACATGTTTCGAACATATTTTTATAAAGATAATACTCACAGTGGGCTTGTTTCCAGTAATCCTCTACGAAAGTTCGTCCTACATAAACACGTATAAACATTGATAATAAATTATGATCAATTGAATTTACTTTTCTTTTCTAATCAACTTAATCGAATTACTCATCTTTTCTAATCAATTTACTTATTTGGTTTCTAGTTTAATTTAATGCTTAATTAGACTTAATTAATGCATAGAGATTATTGGAAAATGAAAAACAAAAGAGAATATGAATAAAAAGATGCATTTGAAAATATGTTGAAACAGTGTGTCCACTCGAGTGGTGAATGCAAATACTCAGTAATTTTTTCTGCAAAATAAGATACCGGTTGCCTCGAAAGTTCGCTTGAGTGGTTTGCAAAAATTTAGTTTTCAAAGACTACGAAAATAGCTTCCAAATTGCAATTCCAAGACTTCGGTTCAAACATGGCTTTGCTAAAAACATGTATTCTTTTTAATAATCAAGAAAACATGATCAATTTCAAACTATTTATAACCAAACTCTTTTAATTTCAAGATTAAACTCAAAATATTCATAAACTCATAATTTTTCAATTCTTCTTTCAAAACATGAAATTAATCCTTCAAAACTTTTGAAAGGCTATGATGCATGTGCAATTAAAACTCAAAACTAATGGAATTTATTCATTCTTCTTCTTCTTCTTCTTCTTCTCTCTCTCCGATTTCGCTGAGCTGACCGCCATTCACCTCCGCCCATGACTCTCATGACGCCTCCACCATTAGATGTAATCTCTCTCTCTCTCTCTCTCTCTCTACAGATACATACACATGCATATCTATATCTTTATCTATATCTTTATCTATCTATATCTGTATCTTTATCTGCTGTATCTACACTCTTTTTGCTGTTCTTCACTTCATCTTTTTCAATCTAAGCTCTATCCAATTTTGATAATTGGGGGCAAGCAATTAATTTTTGTGTGGGGTTCGCTTCTGAATCGACCTCAATTTCGTCAATTTTCTCGCAACCATGCTTGATTTCTAGGGCTTCGATTCGATCAACAGTGCTCAATTTTCCAGATCCAATCTCTGACTTTGATTTTGTTTTTTTGTAGCAAGAGGACGATTGGATCCTCGTTCAGCATTCAAATTTCCCCGCCGCCGGTCCCCAACCCATGGAAGGTATTCCCTCTGTCTTTTACCTTTTAACATTGTTAATATAATATTGCCAATTGTATAGCTTTCTCTTTTCTCTTTTTGCTTTCGGTGGTAATGCCCATCATTTGGAATCCAATGTATATTGCTTCTCTCTATAAAGAGAGAGTTGATTTCTCTTGTAATTACAAGGAGTCCCTCACCATTTGTAAGTGATAACAACATTTAATAATGAATAATACATCAATTTTTCATGGTATCAGAGCTATAGGTTAAAGATCTTGGTGTTCTTCGCCTTCCGGCGGGCGGCAACCTTGCCTTGACCGCCCGCCGGATCTCAACCAATTCAAACCTCCCTCTCCCTCTCGGCACCTCACTGAAACACACCAACTCGAGAGAGTCTTCATCAACGCTCTCTATAGTTTGAGGAACACAAACTCTTCAATTGCAGGCACTTCCCAATTATCTTGAGGGTATCCTTGTCTGGCTCTTCATCTACACCGATTGCCATGATTGCACGAAGAAGCCTGGTGTCCAAGTCATCAGGATCTCGAGCTGATCCATAAACCACCTTCACGGATTTAACTCCTTTCCCTCCAGTCACCAACTGTACAGCAAGCCTACCAAGCTTCTCTGCTAGCAGAACATAAGGAGCCAACTCAGAAAGAACCTAAGAACAAGAGCAATGATTAGCTACCGTGCATTAGGCACGCACATAAGTCACATGGAGATATATGATCTTGAAATTGTTTACCTCAGCAGGGACCATGGGAGCATTCACAGCAGTTGCAGATAGTTCTCCTCTCAATGCTCCAACTACAGCCTCAGCTATTTCAACAGCCACACCTTCCTGTGTTTCTTTTGTGCTAGCTCCAAGATGAGGTGTAAGGGTGACATTCTCAAGCTGCAATAATTTGCTATCCGGGGCTGGGGGCTCCTTTGTGAACACATCGAGTGCTGTCTGTTACCAATATCAAAAAAACAATTCAATCTTTTTAGCATTGTACTAAAACACCATATTTTATGGTTGAATCACTTTCTTGTGAATACCATAAATTTATCTCATTGAACAGGGACATCAATTAACATTTGCAGTCATCTTAAAAGAGGTAAAAATAAAATGATGAAATGTAAATTAAATAAGTCCCAAAACAGCCTCATTCCTGATCCTGATTTTTCACCTTAAATTGCTACATAAAATGCATGAGCTGCTCTAATTCTACTGAATCCATAAATCAAAACCCAACTTTCAGGGGCATTATTGGCATCAGCACAAAGAAGCATACCTGTGCAACCACTCCTGTTTCAAGGGCCCTCACTAATGCATCTTCATCAATAACACCACCCCTGGCAACATTAATAATGTGGACTCCTTTCTTCATCTTTGCAAAAGAGTCATCATTGAATACCTTCGAAGTAGTAGGAGTGAGCGGCATATGAAGTGAAATGAAATCCGCGATGGTGATGGCCTCATCAAAAGAGACCAAGTCCACACCAATAGCACGGGCTCTATCAGCTGGGGCATATGGATCATGCGAAATTACATGCATACCAAGGCCTTTTGCACGTCTTGCAACTTCAGATCCAACTTTTCCGAATCCCATAACTGCTAATGTCTTCCCAACAGACCACTACAACCGAGCTCTCTCTCTACTCAAGGACACCCACCACTATGTCTACTTTCCAACCCATCATCCACCACCTTTTGCACACCCATACCCTTTTTTTTTTTTTTTTTTACCAATCTCCACTACTTTTGGTATTGCTGAGACCCATCCTCTACTCCACTATTTTTGACTTTTCAGTGATAATCATCTACTCCACTCACCTTTGAATTTTCATTCTCACAACATGCACGTGGGCCTGTCCCGCATGTACCCCCCATCTTTATTTTGCACCATCCATCTTCCCCACATCATTTCCTTTTGCTGGGCATTACCCCACCTTTATTTTGACACATAGTTTTTTTTTTCATATAAAAAAAAAAAAAAAAAACAAACATCCATTCTTATAATATATTTCCACTACCCCTAATTTTATTTTATTTTATTTTTTATTTTTTCTATCTTCATTTTTCCATCAATATTTCATTATTATACAACTCGTTAGTGAGCATCACCCTTTTTCCCTTATCTTATTTTTATTATTTTTTTTTATATTCCACCCCCCCCCAAAAAAAAAAAAACAAACAAACAAACAAACAAACAAAAAAAAAAATTGATCCCCTTTATCAATCTCTTTATTTCAACCTCAAATAGGTTTTCTCTCTTCACACCTATTTGAGTTTGAGGGGGGGTTCTACATATATCATGGTGAGCATGATTACATACTATGTGAACCACCCAAGCTGATGAGCATGGTTATATACCATGGGAACCACCCAAGCCACCCCATGGCGCACTCCCTAAGTCGCCCCCTTGGTGCACCACCAAAATCTTTTACATCGGTCCGGCATGACCCCGTAAACTGTCCCGACATTGATTCCGGTTAGCTTCTACAACGGTCCGACATGACCCCATAAACTGTCCCGACATTGATTCCGGTCAGCTTTTACATCGGTCCGGCATGACACCGTAAACTGTCTCGACATTGATTCAGACATTCTCTGCTACAACGGTTCGACACGACCATACAGTGTCTTCTCCAACGGTGTGACACGACCATACGTGTCTTCAACAACGATTTGACACCACCATACAGTGTCTCCTATCCTATTTTATTTTATTTATCAGTTTACTTTCCTGTTTTGTTACTCTCTCCAAACTCAAGTTGGTTAGTACTTATCCTCCTTGAGTTTGAGGGAGGTTGTTAGTATATTATTATATGTTAGTATTGTTAGTATATCAGTAAGTATGTTTAGTATATCATTATGTTTAGATTTAATAATTATATGTAGCTTTAATAATTATATGTCCCCCCTTGCTTTATACTTTCGGTGCCAATTGGCATCTTATGATTGCCTCTCCTCTCTATAAAGAGAGTGTACATTTCTTTGTAAACATACACAACATAATAGAAACAATTCAGTGTCTCTCTCTCTCTCTATCAATTTATTTTACATAGACAAAGAAACAGAATGTATGAGTACAAGTAAGGTTGAATGTGTACCTTAACCATGGAAGTCACCTTTATTTACACTCTACTCCTCACGTCTTCCCATTTATTTAGGGATCATGTTCCATGTGGTTTTCTAGGAGTTAGTTGGGCCAATAATTTAGGAACACGCCTTGACTACTGCACCTCAAGGGCGCGCTCCATGGTGCTCTGGTCCTGGTCCTTCACGTCTAGATCTGGGCCCAATCTCCTGGCCTTGGTCTTTTTGGACCTAGACCCCTGGTCCTGGACCTCCAATCATGTGGGCCTGTTACCCTGGATATGGATTTCTGGACTGACCCTATTGTAGCTCATTTTTACCTCCCATAGCTTTAATATCAATTTATACCAATATAAAAGGTGAAAAATAATATGAAATACATATATAAATAAACATTTTTCTTATATTCATATTGAGATGCAAAATATGGCAATTGTAAGATAAGCTATCTATGCTTGTGAGAAACAATTTATTATTATTATTGTTCAAATTATTAAATTTTATACTTTGAAACCCATATTTCATAGATGCATTAGTGTAATTCGTGCAACTACCTAATCTTATCTTAAAACTATAGGGGTGAATCTATATAAAATGAAAATAACTAATAGAAAATACTAGTATATAAAGGAGTGTTTTGAAATCATAAGGGGAGCGATCATTTCTTCTTACCCCTTTCTAAATCCATCCTTAAGAATAATACCTCAACGTCAGATGAAAAATGTTATAGCTCAAACATTTTGGACAGTTGTGTGGTTGTAGTGTGTTTTGGTAATCCCTAATCCATAAAAAATAAATAATAAAATAAAGAGAAAATTGGTGATAAATCCATATTCTCACTCCTATAAGTCATTAAGGACAAGGGTACATAAGGATATTTGTCGGTTATGGTCACCAAGTCTATTTTCCCTATCTGTTGAAATTCACTACGCCCATTTTTTCCTATCTACTGAAATTCACCAAACAACTTATATGTTGAAATTTACCAAGCTTATTTGCCTTATCTGTTGAAATTCACCAAGCCTATTTTTCATATCTGTTGAAATTCACCAAGCCTATTTCCCCTTATCTGTTGAAAACAAAATCATTTTTACATGTAATATGACTTTAAAGCCTAGATATAGTTAAAGAAACTCGCAAATCAAGATAATCTACAATCCCCTAATATAATCTAACAATTCAAGATAATAAAGAAAATCTCCGAAGGTAAATTATCTTCAAACAACATGAAATCACCGAGCAGACTCAGACTTGTAGAAGTTGAATCAAAACAGATTAAAGATTTAGAGAGAGAGAGAGAGAGAGAGAGAGAGAGAGATAGATACGAAAATGATGCCAAAAGTAAGATGTTCTCAATTGACAACTATAGTCGGTTTTGTGTGTGCACACAAAAGACAAGAACGTATCAATATGTATATATATATATATGAATAGATGTGTAATGAATGTTGCGAGTCGAAGTTCTCTCACATTTAAACCCTATCGGAGAACACATTTCTGTGCTCAACCTTCCCCATATCAATTTAGATATCAGAAACAGCGATTGGGCGGTGTAATGCCCCCAAAATATTGAAACCCGATTTATTGGATATATTTCACATTCAAGACTAGATTCTCATATAAACATAATTTGCGTGCAGAAACAATAAATATTCTAGACAATACATTAATTAACGTTATTCTCAATCTTTGTATTTCATTCATAGCTTTCATTTGAGAGGGGGAAAAAAAAGAAGAAAAAAGAAAAAAAAAAGAATCACATGCATTAGTACATTCACAATTCCTAAGACTTGAATTTATAGCATGTGATTACAATAATTTAAAGCGAACAAGTTTATGTTGTAAAGGCTACAAGTTCCAAGGCCTTGCCCAATTACATCAAAAGTGGGTTTCAAACCCAATACAAATAAGTCCTTGACTTTACAAACACTATAACAAAAGAAAAAAAAAATTCGCACACCAAAATTCTGCCAAGTCATTGCCTTAGCGAAGACATGCCGTTAATACCTGAAAATGGTTTTCCACACAGGGATGAGAATAAAGCCCCCTGCAAAGATATTATTAATGAAGTGCATGAAATTTAACAATATCATGAGGTGAAATGCAATGAGATGTTCCTCTAAGAAACCAATTATTATTAGTCAAAGTGATTTAGAAATCGAACAAATTGAAGAAAGACTAAAGATTGGAAATTACCTACAAAAGATATAGATTGTCTTTATGATAAAAAAAATTTGAACTCAAACAAACATATAAAATCAAAATTGTTGAACAAATTTTACCCGTAACCCAAGATAATCAGAATTTTCAATTGTTAGACTATAACACTATTCTCAAATTTCAAACAAGATTCAACTTTTTACATCTTTGTTTAGTCCAAGTAGGAATCAAACACATGACCCGTATGCATCTCAACAAATCTATATTATGTACTCTCCATGACATGCACCATCATGACTATGATGACTCCTTATTAGGAGTAATCAAATCCAGCTTAGCTTATAGACCCATATATTTTGAATGATTTCCTAATTTTGAAGTATCCTTACTTGATCCAACCATTCTCAAAACTCTTACTTTAAATGTTCAAACAAAATGATACAAAATGGATTCTTCTTCCTTTAACATCATGGTTTGCTATCGAATTTACCTCAAAACTATGACTACATCTTGTCCTGGCTTTAAATATATTCCATCTAACCCACCCAAAAGAATCAACAATACTTTTCCAATCACACCAAGAACATACTGAAGTCATGATTCCTAAGGTCATAACCTGGCAAGAAGTCATACAAGCTGATGTGGAAGATAATGAAGATACTTGGGTCATTCCAAATGTCATATCTGCTTTAACTACACAACATCAAACTAATCCTGAAACGATTATGCAAAATTCGAATGGATTTGTAGTCCTTCGGCTTCAAATATCCAGATTTGTTAGATCTCAAACATCTGATAGACCAAAATCTCAATCCTTACACTCTAACTCTACTTGGTCATACACCTCTTCAAACACCACAATATTTGCCTTCACATTCTATCGATATACCTTTACACTCTACCCGACAACAACCAAATCAGATTCCTCATACAAATTATGAAGATTTTAGCCAATTTAACCAAGATATTGATTTTGATATAGACTTCTTATCCATCAATGTCATCCGAAACAATTTTACCATAAATCATAAACTCATTTCCAAAGAATATAATGCTCCTTATAATTTACAAAATAGAATCTATTTTAAACAACACAACTTGTCACAACAACAAACAATTAGGTCTAAATACTTTCTTACTTTACAAACAATGCAAACACATGTGCCATTTTTCAATTGGTATTTCTATACCTATTGTTCTAATCACCATATTGAAGTCCCAATCACCCTACTTAATAAACATTTAAATGCCATACAAAAGAATTAGCCTATTCTTAGTGGTGAAACTGTCCAATCTGTCTATCCTAGTAAAACTTGCACTTTACAAGGTACTGGATTTACTTTTTATGCTAAACCATACAATCGAC